ACATTCTGCTTCTACAGTCACCTGGCTAGGTGTCATCTCCAGCAACTATTTTATTCAGCTTAGTTAGTTATGCCTGAAGGCACTAGGCCAGTGCTTTTTAAGGTATTAGGCACTAATATATGTATTCTGAATATGCAATGAAATATACATTTAGTTATACCCTAAGCAATAAGGGAGTTTCCTACAACTTTCTTCTTGAATAGCTTATAGGAGTTTATATTAAAGATAAGAAATCACTAGTCCAGAACTTAATTTCATCCAGTCTAAGAACAAGGGCAAGACATAATCTGGTTTATGTCTACAGTTTTACAATTTGTCATTAATGTCATTATGCTTTGAAAAACCAAAAATTGTTGGTAAATATAGCAAAAATTTAATACTGGTTCTCCTTCGATAGTTATTCCTTTTGTGTACTTTTCTGTTTTCCACTTGTCCTATAATGTGGTCATTACTTTAGGTTCTGAGAAGGTAAGTTCCCTTCATAAGAAAGAGTAGAATATCTTCACTGAAAGAAATTTTAGAGAGTATCCAGTACTTCCAATAAAAAAATTCCCTCTGAACATGTTCTACATGTGTTTAACCATCTATTCAGCCCCTACTTCTAAACTTTTCAGGCACAGATAACTATCCACTAAAGCAGCCTATATACATTTTTCTAGGTCTATGACTAAAAACATCTTCTCTCTTTTGTACATTGATCCTTATCCTCTCTAATATTCACAGACTTACATCTGATTTATCTACCACATCTTTCCAATTTAAAGGCTGCTATCATGTGTCTTTGGCAAATATTCAAGCAGTATATCTGTCTCTTTGCATTCCAGCTTTCTTCCTCTCTTATGAGCTGTTACAAAGAACTGAAGTATGTGCTTTAGCTTTACTAATTGTATAGACTCAAAAGAGTCTTAGTTCTTAATTGAATGTGCAAGTGGCTAACGTACTTCTGGTTATATTTCTCAGTAAAAGAAGTTGCCGTTTACTTAATTCCTATTAGGTCCCTGTCAAAATCAAGATTTACTTTCTTCCTTTTGGCCTGATTTTTATTCTCTTAAGACAAGTAATAAGGAATTTCAAGACACCAAGAGATCTTAAAGACCAAAGGACAGTCCCTTGCTCCTTTTGTACTAAAACATTTATCACTAAAAAAAAAGAAAAAAAAATGATATAATGGTATAACCACTAGATATTATTCCATTTATTGCAGGCCTCTGCTTATTAGATCTATCTCTTCAAGGTTTTTCCCACAATAAGTAATTGTTTCAAAGTGCTGTTCCTTTTATAATTATGAGAGTAGTAAGTTATGATAGGACTTCACCATGGCCAAACTATTACCTTACTCTCATTGGACCCAGTGAATGTCCTTTTCTGTTCTTTAATGGTAACATTAAATATCAAGCTGGTATAATTTTTAAAATATATTTCTTAAAAGAACTTTGTAAGTATCAGTTGTTCAATTTGTTAGAATGATTTAATATTTATCTTTCTTAGGAAAGGTACATACAGATCTTATTGTAACTTAATTAAAAACAGTTAATAGTCACATCTTAGTTATTTTCACCTTTCTCTCCCCAAAAGAGATTTTTAGAAGCCATTACACGTGTGGTGGTTCTTAATATGGTTTCAGGCTTACAAATGTGAATTTGACCAAGGGTTGAGAAGTTTTACTTCGCCATGAACTTATGTTTCTAGAAAAATATTGTTCCCTATTACCAATTAATGCTGTTGGCTTCATATTCTGGGGTGTTTTTTTTTTTTTTTTTTTTTTTTTTTTTTGTGTGTGTGTGTGTGTGTGTATGTGGTTTATTTTCGTTTTTTTGTGTTTTTTTTGAGACAGAGTCTTACTTAGTTGCCCAGGCAACTAAGTGCCATGGCATCAGCCTAGCTCACAGCAACCTCAAACTCCTGGGCTCAAGCAATCCACCTGTGTCAGCCTCCTGAGTAGCTAGGACTACAGGCATGTGCCACCATGCCTGGCTAATTTTTTCTATATATTTTTAGTTGACCAATTAATTTCTTTCTATTTTTAGTAGAGATAGGGTCTCACTCTTGCTCAGGCTGGTTTCGAACGCTTGACCTTGAGTGATCCTCCTGCCTTGGCCTCCTAGAGTGCTAGGATTACAGGTGTGAGCCACAGTGCCTGGCCCATATTCTGTTCTTTTTTTTCTTCCTTATATTACAATGATATATTTCTTCTTTTTTTTTAATATATATTTTTTTTATTTTCACGTATTATGGGGGTACAAGTGTTAAGGTTACATATATTGCCCATGTCCCCCTTCCCCCCTCGAGTCAGAGCTTCAAGTGTGTCCATCCCCCAAACGTTGCACCTCTTACTCGTTGTGTTTGTATATGTTCTTAATTGATGATACAGCTATAGATGCTACTCTGAGTGACAATGCAGTATGATAAAGTGGGCATAATAAAGAGTGAATAGGTTTCTGAGTGAAGACAGCAACTTAACCACACTTAATTTTCATTCTTCTTGAAACCCCACTAAAATGCCAGTAAAGAGACTTTTTTAAGGAATAAACCATAATAATAAAGGAAATAGAAGAGATTTAAAAAAAAAAAAAAGATTTAGAAACTAGAAAGCAAATAAACTTAGCAGACTTCCCTAAATCCTAAGCCAGCAGAGGAATAAAACAAGAAGCAACCAGATATACCCAGCAAAACCTCTACACATTCAGGACTCAGGGGTACCAGGAACCTTGGAAGTAGGGGTAGTGTGAAGGTAAATATAAAAACACAGGAAGGTTTACAGAAAATCTGTTTAAAGAAACAGTCTCTAGATCATATCCTCTACCTTGGCATAAAACTGGTGCTTTATTCCCTGGAAAGTATAAAATAGAGACCCTGTCTACTAGGGAAAACGAGCATTATTGAAGTTATGGATGCCATATTGAAAACAGATTAAATTAGTATATGCATACTGAATGTTGCATGTCCAGTCTTCATTCCTCACTCAATTTACAGTCAACTTGCCCTGATCCTCCAACTAAAAGATGCTTTCCAGGCAATCTGACCAGCCAAAGAATAAAGACCTGAAGATTTTACATTGGGTTATCCCCAAGGAAATAACCCAGTCAGATCATTTTACAGTAAAGCCCAGAGTCAACCATCCCATAGATAGAACTTCTGATCAGCTTTTTAGCACCTATTCTTAAATATGAACAGAAAACAAAGCATCACTAAATACCTGAGTAAAGCCTCACATAAAAAATAGAGACCAAACAAATGAGCAGAGGGTGGGGAATTGGTAACCTAGATGAAACAGAGACTTTGTAAGGAAAAGAAAACTTTTAACAACAAAAAAAAAGAAATGGTTATTAATATCTCAGAGATATGAGAAGAAATTACATTCATAGAACATGAACAAAATTTTACTTTTTATAAAAGGAACATTCAGGAAACTGAAAAAAAACTCTGGGAAATCAAAACTATGATAGCAAAAATAAAAAACAGAATATTTAGAAGATAAAGCTAAGGAAATCTCACAGAAAGAACAATTTTTAAAAAGATGAAGTGGTAGAAAATAGAGACAAGATATGAAAATTAGAGAACCAGGCCAAAAAGGCCCATATAATTAGAAATTGAAATATGATACAAGCCACATATGTAATTTTTAAAATTTAGCCGTAATTAAAAAGTAAAAAGAAGTAGGTAAAATTAGTTTTAGTTAATCTATCTTACCCTATCTAAAATGTTGTCATTGCAACATGTGATATAAAATATTGATGTTTTACGTTCTTTTTTTCATACTATGTCTTCAAAATCTGCACTTAGAAACCATCTCAAATTGGACTAGCCACATCTGAAATGCTCAAAAGCCACATGTGGCTACCATATTGGACCATACAGATCTGAATAACAGGAGTTCTATAAAAGGAGAATCAATAAGGAGGAAGAAGACAGGCAAAAAATAAAATAATTTAAGAAAATTTTCAAGGACTCAAGGTTACTAGTTTCCAAATTGAATAAATTCTCAGAAAAGCACAGCCAAATAGATGAGTTGGATCCAGACCAAGGCACTTCATCATTTCAAACCACCAGAGACTCAGAGAAACCTCTGCAGGCTTCAAAGAGAAAAAAACAGGTTACAGTCAAAGAATTACATCTCAACATGGCTTTAGATTTCTCAGCAACACTGGATAGATAGAAGACAATGTATCAATGCCTTTAAAAATATGAAGGAAAAGCACCACCTACCTGTAATTCTATAACGAGCCAAAATACCAACCAAGTTAGAAGGTAGAAAAAAGGTACTTTCAAAAAGATCCAAGATCTCACAAAATTTACCTGCCATGCTCCCTTTTCAAGAAGCTACTAGCTAATGTGCTGCACCAAACAAGTAAGTAAAAAAAGAATGAGGAACATGTTAGATACAAGAAATAGGAGAAAGGTAAAAGGAATTCTTAGATGAAACTGTGAACTAAGCCTAGAGACCTAGCAGTCCAGATTAGAGCAGGTCAGAGGAACCACAATAAAATTCATCAAGAACATACAATTGGTAGCATACTTGATGGGACTGAGTATGGATTTAGACAACTGGCAGAGATTTAAGAGTTGAATTATTAACAAGTACATGGAAAACTAAATAAGAAATAAAAATAAAATTATACACTCTGAATGTTGAACAATTTATATTAAGAGGATGGAAAAGGCATGTAGTGGTGGGAAGTGGTAAAGATCTAAAACCTCATCTTTCATAGTGTAAAATTAATACAGTTATTAAAACAAATACAAGACAGTAATATAGATATGTTATCTGAAAATATGAAGGTGAAAAGAAAAATAATCAGTTGTTGAACATGGTTGCTTCTGGGATGGTAAAATAAAGGGAAGAAGGAGTCTCCCATTTTCCCTAACAAACTTTGTAAAACTATGTCTAAGTCATATACATGTATGTAACTCTCATTTAAAATGAAACAGGGGCAATAGTAAATCTGGGTAAATAAAAGATCTTTACCAGGCCTGTGATAATGATTGTCCTTATCTCCTAGCATTGAGTATTGGTTCCGCTGCATGGACGTGGATGGAGATGGTGTACTCTCCATGTACGAGCTGGAGTACTTCTACGAGGAACAGTGTGAACGGATGGAGGCCATGGGCATCGAGCCCTTGCCATTCCATGATTTATTGTGCCAGATGCTTGACTTGGTGAAGCCAGCCAGTGATGGTGAGACAGAGTAAAGGGACATTTACACTGTTCACCTGTGTAACAAAGTGGGGCACGTAATCCTAGACCACCCTAGATTATCTACTTTCCAGAGTCTTCCATGCAGGCCTCCCAAGTATAGAAGTGTTTAAAGTTTCTCCTTGACTATTAATGTAGAACTGGCAATTGGTGGCAAATCCACTGTTTAACAAATAGGATTTTTCACTGGGTATGGTATGCCTGCAGTCCCAGCTATGTGGGAGCCTGAGGCAGGAGTTCAAGACTGTATGTAGTGCGTTATGATTGCACCATGAATGCACCTGTGAATAGCTACTTCACTCTAGCCTGGGCAACACAGCTAGACCTAATTTCTTAAAAAAAAGAAACAAAGAAATAGGATTTTTTTCCATAGAGACAAAAAGCAGATTAGTGGTTGCCAGGGGCTTGGGGGTGAGGGGAGATAAGGAGAGGACTGCTTGATGGATACAGAGTTTCCTTTTGGGGTGATGATAATGTTATGGAACTAGGTATTGGTGGTGAAGGTTTTATAACATTGTGAGTGTACTAAAAGCCATGCACTTTAAAATGGTGAATTTTATGTTATGTGAATTTTTACTTCACTTTAAAAAAAATGGTATTTTTATAATAAACATATACATATACTTTTAGACTTAAGGAGTTTTTTCTCTTTCCAAAACAGCTCTTGATGAAATTTACCAGATTTTCTTTTATGTAGGCAAAATAACCCTAAGAGATCTGAAGAGGTGCAGAATGGCTCACATCTTCTACGACACTTTCTTTAATCTGGAGAAATACTTAGACCATGAACAAAGGGATCCCTTTGCCGTCCAGAAGGTACCAGTATAATTTTAACTTTTGTTTGAGGACTGCAGTATCAGGGCTGTGTGCTTCATATTAATATTAAAATGGTCTCTCTAGGCTAGGCGCAGTGGCTAATGGCTATAATTCCAGCACTTTGGGAGGCCAAGGTGGGAGAATCGCTTGAGGTCAGGAATTTAAGACCAGCCTGGGCAACATACCGAGACCCCATCTCTACAAAAATAAGATAAAGTAGCCAGGCACGGTGGTGCACACCTGTAGTCCCAGCTACTCAGGAGGCTGAGGCACAAGCATCGCTTAGGCCCAGGAGTTTGAGGCTGCTGTGAGCTATAATCATTCCTTTGCACCCTAGCCTGTGCAACAGAGTGAAACTCTGTCTCTAAAAAAAATAAATAAATGCATGTAGGAATCTCAGTATTTAAAGAAGTAATGTTTAAAACATTTTATCAAATACTGAAAATAGAGAAAAAAAGACCCAGAACACATCTCTCCCCACAGCTAATCTTCAAGTTTAGGTAACCTGCATCCACCTACGTACTGTCTACATTAGAAACCAGTTACAAAAAGTATTTTTTTAAAAAATTTGTTCTTGATTCTCTTCCCTTTCTTGTTAAAAGAAAATAAGAAAAATAAATTAAAAATTTGTTCTTCTGACTTTTAAAAATATATCAGTAGGCATCTGTATTAAAAACTATATTGACCTTGATTTAATTGTACCATTCACTTACCAGGAATCTATGATAAATAGCTTTCCCCATCATAATAAAAACTAGAAGCTCTCTGTGATAAACAGCTCTTGTGTAATATAACACTTTTTCAAGTATTAATGATTGCTGAGCATGGCTATCAGTTTTAAATGTCATTCTGCCTCTGAATAAAGATGAGCTTCCTTCATCATACACAAAAACCATGGACTCTCAGAAACCCCTGGACATATGATCCATGTCCAGAAACAAAAAAACATCACCATTTGCTTTTAGCATTCCTCTGTTTAAGAAATAAAAATTATGTTGATAGAAAAGGACTGTTTCGACAGTTATTGTACAACTACAGGCAGCTTTTGTAGTCTTCTTTTCTTCTACATGTTCCTTAACTGTTTGACCCAAATAGTAAGAATATGAAATCACCTCCTAAAAACAAATACTCTGCAGCTGATCTCAGCATATCAGGTACGTTATTGCTGGCCTAAAGTCGGTATTATATTTCACTGAATTTAACATGCCCCATTATTTTACATTCCTCTAAGCAATAAAAACCCAAAACATTGCCAATTTTAAGTCTAAGATGCATGGCAATTTCAGAAATGTTAAAAAGATGGAGAGGGTATTAAGATGGATTAGATGTAGTAATTAACACACTGCATATTCAATATTTAGGTACTTAACATTTTTCTGGGCATAACTGACCCTGGGCCCTAAGACACTACTACTACATTGTCAGTTTGGAAAGACATTTTACCTGGAACATATAATCTGAGACATTGTAGAAGGGACAGAAAAAGTATGGGTTTTTTCCCCCTTCATTTCTAAATTTTACTTTTATAAGAGATGGTAATCATTAATATTTGTTCTGATCTGCAGAGAATGTTATTAGTCAGAAAATGCTCAATAAATTCCAGGCACTATGTTGAAGAGATACTGGGAATATGGAGATGACAGAGACACAAGAGGAAAAGATGGGAACCAAAGCATCTGCAATAGAGAGAAGGAAGTGATTTGGGAAAGAAGGGCTGTTTCATGGAAGATAACACAGATGACATGGTGTCTAAGCTAGCTTTTAAAGAGATAGTAAAATTTGCTGGAAAACCATGGATATGGGGAAGGTACATTTCAGGTGGTCATGTGCAAACCACAAGTCACTCCAGACAGCTGCTATGCAAAGTGCCAGGGGAGAGGGAACTGGAGAAAGGTCTCTAAATACAAGGCTAAAGAATCTAGATCTACAATCTAGCTGCTAAATTATTATAATTTTGTGATTTGCGGTATAAAAATCACTTTAGGAGTGTTACCTTACCACTTCTTTTAACATGTTAACAGGAAACACTTTTCAGATAGGTTTTCTTCAGCAGTCAACACATGTGATGACCTATCTCCAATTCTCTGTCTTTGATTATTTTTATTTCCTGTGGTTGCCCTCTTTCCAATCAGGATGTTGAAAACGAGGGGCCTGAGCCCTCTGACTGGGACCGGTTTGCTGCTGAGGAGTATGAGACTCTTGTCGCAGAGGAATCTGCACAAGCACAGTTCCAAGAAGGGTGAGTGAGTCTCCCTTTGTCTTGTAGAACTTTTTAACAGGGATGCCCATGTCAAGAATATTAAAACCACCTAGAAAAAATCCTTTTCTATTTTTTCCATTTTTGAATAGCATAAAAATACGATTTTTAAACCAACTTTAGTTAAATGAATATTCTCTCCAGCAGTCTTCTCTTCTCTAATTTCCTGATAAAGTCTTCTCATGCCCCATTTTCTTTCATGGAGTTGTACCTTTCACCCTTGTACCTTTCACCGGAAACCAAGATCACTGAGCAGTCATTACTGCTATTTTAGTGGTATCAATAAATTCTGCAGATAGAGGAGGAGACTAAAGGAACTGAAGCTCCTTAAAATAATAAAAATGATCATGTTTAAAACAAATCTTTATCATACGTGGTTTTGTGTATTCAACCTAGTACCAGAAGTAACTTCTACATATAATTAATACTAGTCAGGGCATAATTCTGTAAAAGGGACCATGTTAAGAAATTAAATTATCCAAGAATTTGACTGCTTGGATTTTAGTAACTCTATAATTTGCTGAATTTTTCCATCATCTTCTAGTGACTTTTTCAGCAATTCCTGTAATTTTTCCTAGTCATTGTTTCTCTAAGGTTTATCATTAATGTAATGCATTTTTTGAATAGGCAGTATTCATATGATATAATATCAAGGAAACAAAAAGAATAAATAGTAACAAGTTTCCTACCATCCAGTTCTTATATCATGTTCTTATATACCCTTCCAAAAACTCCTACTCCATATATATGGAAATACATATATATTCTTTTGTTATTTCCTTCTTACACAAATGGTAGCATATATTCATAGTTTGATACTTTGTTTTTTTCATACTTAATATATTAGAGATTATGCCATAGATGTGTCTAATGAATGACAGTTTTTTACAGCTACATAATGTTCCACTATATAGTTGTATCATTATTTTACAGTTCTGTAGTGATGGACATTATTTCTAATATTTTAATAGTAGAAATTATAATGTTGCAATGAATCATCTTATATATAAATATAAGACAAATTCCTAGAAGTGTAGCAAACAGCATACTCAAACTAGGTTTCTGAAAAGAGTTTGCAAAGACATAAGAGTTTCAGAGAAATGATGCAGACACCCAGAACTCACACCAGTGGGAAGCCATTCTCATCTGTAGGAGGCCAAAAGGGACAAGGAGATGAAACTATCACCAGAACCCAAAGAGAATAGCTATATGAAGAGAGTCACCTGACAGGACCTGTGACGTTCAGTAATGGGATTTAACTAACCAGTGGCAACTCAGCTGAGAGGGACCTGCTAGAATAAATACCCAACTTCATTCTCTTCATAACCTTCAGTATCCTGCTAATGTCTCACATTGACTTCAAATCAGAAGAAAAGAACCCAATGATGTGGTCTATTTAGGTCATCCTTCTGAGGTGCACAGCATAGGGGAAGAGATCTGGAAGGATAAACAGAAAATATTCAGCCCAACCCAATAGATAATGTCAGATAGTCCTCTATATATTATAGATTGCACCATTTTGTACCTCTACCATCAAGTCTTTAATATCTTTTTTGAGAGTGCTGAATAAGCTATCACCAAACCACTTTCTTTTATTTTTCCCCCCTGGAGATAGGATCTCACTTTGTCCCCCAGGCTAGAGTACAGTGGCATCATCAGAGCTCACTACAACCTCAAACTCCTGGGCTCAAGCAATCCTCCTGCCTTGACCTCTGGAGTAGCTAGGAGTACAGGCACATACCACCACTCCCAGCTAATTTTTCTATTTTTTGGTAGAGATAGGGTCTCTCTCTTGCTCAGGCTGGTCTCCAACTCCTGGCCTCAAGCAATCTTCCTGCCTTGGCCTCCCAAAGTGCTAGGAGTATAGGTGTAAGCCACCATACCTGGTCTAATTTATTTAATCTAGAGATTTCTTTAATCTGCTTAGCCACAAATTTGGGGTGTCATTTTTATGGCAATGACCTAGAAACCCTAAAAATCATTCATTATGCATTGAGTATCTTAAGCCTAACTTCATGAAGACAGGAAAGTGGATTCATAACCATTATTTAAAGTTTCTTGGCATTGAGCTTCCTGCTAGGAATTAGGGTTCATTTACTGATCATATGAAGCCACACTGCTATAGTTAAGAACATATGTGGATGTTAATAACAGTGAAAAATTGGAGACAATCAAAGTATCTAATGGGAAGATTAATAAAGTTATACTACATGGCTTGTAATCCTGTCACTTTGGGAGGCTGATGTGGGAGAATCACTTGAGAACAGGAATTCGATTAAGACCAGCCTGAGCAACATGACAAGACCCCATCTCTACATAAAATATGAAAAATTAGCTGGGTATGGTAGCACATACCTATAGTCCCAGCTACTCAGAAGGCTAAGGCAAGGGGATTGCTTGAGCCAAGGTGTTTGAGGTTGCTGTGAGATATGATAACACCATTACACTCTAACCTGGGTGACAGCACGAAACCCTTTCTCAAAAGCAAAAGTTATACTACACATACACAGTGCAATTCCAAGTAAGCATTAAAATAATTTTGTGGATTTGTATTATTTAACTTTCATTAAGAAAATAATAGGGACAAAGAAGAAGGCTTATTAATAGAAAGAACCAAAAAGGTATCCAAAAGAAAATTAGGGAGGACGTTGGTACTTTAAGATGGAAGTCTGTCAACATCCTCATTTGCCGGCAAATTAATAAACTTATCTTTCCTTCTCCTCAAACCAGTTGTCCTTTTTCTTCTGATGCAGCCTCAGGGACAAGTGTCGAACTTTTGGAAACAGAGTTTGTATTTGAACCTAGAGAGATATCTAGTTCTAAAACGTAAACTTTCAACTATTGGGTCAAAGGGAAAATTTCCCCTTCACTCTTGAAGGTTTGCTGAAAAATCAACTCACAATAAAGCAGATTAATGAGAAAAACTATACAAATTTATTTTAATGTATATACTTGAAAACCCTCAGAAAATGAAGATTCAACTCCTCCATGGGGTTCAAAAGTTTATAGACCTTTCTAGTAAAATGGGTTATGGGAGGGGAAAAAGAGGAATTCTTCTGAGGGACAATAAAGAAATACTAGGAAGAATAAAAAAAAATAGGTATATGTAAGTTAAACAAAAGGGATCTGACTTACATGTATTAAACAACATACGGACTAGAAAAAACTATTCAAAGATAATGCAAAAGTTTTTTTTAAATAAAAGAAAACCTAAATATGAACGGTCAGAAATCATGCCATATCCAGGAAATACTGATAGCAGTGATTGACCCCAGATATGCGTTGTGATTTTATTGGAATTCAAGGATGAATAAAGGTTTATTTAGGGTTTGGGGGTGGGTTTTTTTTCCCATTTTTTACAAATGCAAGTTACCAGACGGGGAAAAAAGTCAGCCCTTCTTCAGATACCTCCACAGTAAAACTGAATAATAAAGACCATGAAACAATGTTTACAACTTTCTCAGAGAAATAAACCTAAGAACTTTATATTAAGCCAAGATGGCATTCACACATAAAGACACAGATGGATATATATTTTCAAACATGTGAGAACTGAAAGTAATACAGCTTCATATCTCTTTGTAAAGAGCTCTTTTAAAAAAAAAAAAAAAAGGACATAATCATAAAACCAAGAGACAAACCAAAATAAAGAGCTCAGAATTGGAGGCCGGGTGCAGTGGCTCACACCTGTAATCCCAGTGCTTTGGGAGGCCAAGACCGGAAGATCTCTTGAGGACCAGAAGATCTCTTGAGGCTAGAAGTTTGAGACCAGCCTGGGCAACATAGCAAGAGCCTGTCTCTACAAAAAAATTAGCTGGGTGTGGTGGCACTCGCCTGTAGTCCCACCCTACTTGGAAGGCTGAGACAGGAGGATCACTTGAGTCCAAGGAGTTCAAAGTCATAGTGAGCTATGATTGCGCCTCTGGACTCCAGCCTGGGCAACAGAGCAAGAACCCTGTCTCTAAAAGGAATAGAAAAAAAAAAAAAAACAAAGAAATGGAGCAGCCATGGTAGAAAAACATTCTGTTCATGTAAATGTAGAAATGAAGCTAAACAGCTAAGGGCATTAAAAGAGAACAGCATATAATATTCTGGAAAACAGTAAATAAAATTGAGATGTGAAGAGGAAATATATGTGTAAATTCTAGAAATAACAACTGAAATTGGAGATACCAAGAAAGAAGAAAATACATGTGTAAGTTTTACCAGCAGGGTCTCAACAGATACCCTCAAAAACTGATAAATCAAGTTGGGTGTTTAATTAATACTCTTAAAGTAAACATTTGAAAAGCCAGACTCTATCCTAATTGCATCAGAAAATATATACACACAAAGGAAAAATACAGACCATGCAGCATAAACTAAAGATGACAAAACTAAGGCAAATATTTCTAGATGAGTGAATATAAAAGGAATAAACTCAGTTATTAAGAGAAAAAGATTCAATTATGGAATAACAACCACCAAAAAACAACAAAGGTTGGATATAAAAAGAATTCAGACCTAAAAAAAAAAAGCTGTCCTGATAATAGCAGATTTTTTAAGGGAAACCTCAAAAGAGAAGGAGAAATTGAAACCTATAATATTATTTGCAGATACAGTAAACTATTCCCTAAAAATAGATAAAAATACCTTTTTGGTTTATGTCTGTAGACCATTTACAAAATACATACTAGGCCACAAACAAAACTTCAGTGGACTTCTAAAAAGTAGCAATAATATAGACCAGCATCTGATTTCAAGGAGGTAGACTGAAAGTACGCTGTAGTTTTCAGTCTCACACCACATAAAAATAAGACAGCACCTCTCAAAGTAAGGAGAGAAACTTTTCAGTGGACCACTAAAAGAAGGAAAGCAGATGGGATCAGATTGAAGGAGAAGCCAGAAGCTTAGATTCTTTGTAATGATAATTGCTACTGATAATGGGAGCAGCACTTAATGATCCATACCTGAATTCGACTCAAACCAATAGCAAGAAGACC